TGGTGACCGACCATCAGCTGCTACTGTGGCTGATGACCAACCAGGAACTGACTGGAAGAAACGCACTCTGGGCTATCAAGTTGCTGGGATTCGATTTTGAAGTTCGACACCGACTGGGGAAGACGCTGCAGCATGCAGATGGGTTATCCAGGAACCCCCCACCGATGCAACCAGTAGCGCAGCTGGCAGCCATGGCTCAAGTAGCGGCAGTAACCTGGGGGTAGGAGAAGGGAGAGAAGCGGTTGATGGATATTTGGGAGGATGAGGAGACTATGAGCTGGATCAAGGGTGAGCCGCTAGAAGAGGAAGGTGTAAGCGAGAGAGCTAGGGCCCGGGGGCAGCATTACAGGTGGTTTCAGGAACAGCTGCAGCTGAGAACTAACGAAGGCTGGAAAGTAGTGCCGCAGCCATAAGAGGGGGACAGGATTATGGGGAACGTGCACGCAAAGCTGGGCCACTACGGCATAACCAGAATGCGGCAGCTGCTGAGCACCATGTACTGGTGGGCGAGCATGGGAAAGGATGTGGCAGGATTAGTGGCAAACTGCGAGGCTTGCCAGAGGAATAAAGCAAGGCTGGAGAAAGAGAGGGATGAGCTGCATTCTTTACCAATTCGTGGGCTAGGCTACATGTGGTCGCTGGACCTCGCAGGGGAGCTACCGCTGTCGAAAAGAGGGAAGCAGTACATTCTGGTGATGGTCGAGCACACGAGCAAATGGGTGGAGGCGCGAGCGTTACCAAGCAAGAATAGCGCACTGATAGCTGACGCATTTGAGGAGCTGGTGCTCACCAGGTACGGGGCATGCGGTGAGGTACTCACTGACCAAGGGACTGAGTTCCAAGGGAGCTTTGATGAGCTGCTAGAGGAGATGGGCATCACATACAGGGTCACCTCTAGGTATCACCCTCAATCGGACGGACTGACTGAGAGACTCATACAGACCTTGAAGAAAGGACTCTGTGCCTACAGCGAGACACACAAGAGGAGCTAGGACCGAGATCTCTGGTGGGTGCTGGCGGGGTACAGGTTTGCAAAACAGGCAGCGCCATATCATCTGCTGTACGGGCGGGACCCTGTGCTGCCGGTCGATGCACCGAAGCTGCTTTCTGCAATTATCGAGGCGGATGAGCCGAACCTGTGGGCGGAGTTAGCACATAAGAGGGCGAAGTAATTGAAAGAGCTGATCCCGCCAGCCCTGGATAACCTCCACGTGGCACAGCTGCGAGACGCAAGGCGGTATCAGCAGCGTAAAGGATCAGGGATGGGAGGAATGAGAGACAAGGTGGAGGCAGGACAGGAGGTGTACCACCGCAAAGCTAAGCGTGATACGCTGGACTTGGCGGTGGGAACGGAGCGTTGGAAGGTGAAGGAGGTTCGAGGCTCGGGAGTGCTAGTGCTGGAGGATATTCGAGGGGAGACCATCAGGGAGCACATCACCAACGTGGCTGGGGCGGGACAAGGGAAGCCTCAGGCAGTGGGTCCTGTGACTCGAGCGACGAGGGTGAGCGCTGAGACACGGGAGGGGGCATGGAAGCCTGAGATATGAGGAGTGCAGGACATGGTGATTACATATACCAGGAGGAGTGCAGGAAAGGATGAATCTGGTCAGCTGTGCGGGTGACAGGGAGGGAAGGAGAGAAGGGGTAACCAGTTGGATATTCAAGGGAGAGTGGGAATGAGTGTTTGCAGAGGAGGATTCACGACAGCTATCGCGTTATTAACACTTAGCTGGCAACTAAGTGTGAATACCACAGCAGCCAAGGTGAGGGTGTACTATAGTTTACCGCTTTTGTACTTTAATTTCATTCGTGTGCTCGGAGTGTTTTGTACTGTACTGGAGAGCCAAGTATCTGGGGAATTCGAGGTGGTTAGTGGGAGGCGAATTCAAGGAGGTTGGTGGAGGCGAATTCAATTCCAGCCTGTGAATTCAATTTCGAAGTCACAAGGCTGGCAGGCGAATTCAATGCCAGCCTGGGAATTCAATTCGAAGTCACCAGGCTGGAAGGTGGTGCATGCCTAGTGGGCTCAGTGGGAACCCAGCTAGCACCTTGGAGACCTCGCGAGCAGCTCGGTTGACTCGCTTGGTGAACAGAAGCTTGCTTGTGGAGGAAGCAACCTAGGCAGGGGGTGGGAATAGATGTAGGCAGGAGTAGCACTCGGGCTTCTTGCTTTTTGCTTGTATGTTTCTCGTTTACTGCAATTTGCTTTCCTAATCCGAAAGAAACTAGCAGTAGGAGAAGCTAACAGCAATCTGACTGAGCCCTTGCGATGGAGTTCAAGACTTGTTGCAGGGAAGCCTGAGATACGAAGATGAGTGCAGGACATGGTGATTACGTATACCAGGAGGAAGAAGGGATGAATCTGGTCAGATGTGTGGGTGACAGGTAGGGAAGGAGAGAAGGGGTAACCAGTTGGATATGTAAGGGAGAGTGGGAATGAGAGTTTGCAGAGGAGGATTCACGAAAACTGCCACTGGAGGCACTGGAGCTGGAGGCGTTGGAGCTGGAGGCGCTGGAGCTGGAGGCGCTGGAGCTGGAGGTATTGGGGCTGCTGGTCCTGGAGGTGCTGACAATAGGGGTGCTAGTGCTACTGGAGCTAGGGGTGTTGGTGCTGCTGGAGCTGGAGGTACTGCAGGCGCTGGAGGTGCTGGTGCTGCTGGTACTAGAGGTGCTAGCGCTGGAGGTGTTGGTGCTACTGGAGCTGAGGGTACTGGTCCTATTGGAGCTGGAGGCCCTGGAGGCGCTGGAGTTGCTGGTGCTGCTGGTCCTAGAGGTGCTGTGTAGCAGCGACCGTTTTTCTTGCCGCCGCCGCAGCTGTCACTGCTACTGCCTACCTCGGTGCTCTGTCAGGTTCTTAGTCTTCCTTCGTCCACTGCCCTTCCTCCAGACTCACCGCTGCCTGCCCCCCCTCGTTACACTGAGCAGCCAGTCTCCTTTACAGAGTGTCGTGAGCCTGCGTCTCGTCCTGCCTCCCCTGTTTGCACTGTTCGCCGTGCTCGTCGTGTTCCCCATCCTCCTCCTCCACCTGTCCCCGGCACGCACACCATGGCACTACGTCCTTCCTCTGTTCCACAGCGTATCCTCTTGCCATCTCCTCCGGTGTCCTCACTTCCTAAGGTTCCGGACCCTGAGTCTGACTTGGTTCGTGCTGCTAGTCCTACTGTCACGCGTCTCCTGGCCACTGTTGTCACTGACCCTTCTTTTGAGTCCACTGCTGCGTTTGCCTTAGTTGGTCGCTGAGCTTGTTAACTTTGCTGCTGCGTGTCGTCTAGACTACGCCACTAGTCTTGTTGCTGAGTCTGGGTCTGTCTGTCCTCCGTCCGTCGGGGGTGAGTGTGCTCTTGGCACGGACGTCCTTGAGGACAGGCAGGAGGAGTTCGAGTGTCTTGCGGCTACTGTACCTCATCTCGTGGCCCGGCTGCTTGCAGCTGAGGGAGACTCGGATGCACTGGACATCTTGACCGCGCGCTCTTACGCAGAGGCGATTACGGGTCCTTCCTCCTCTTAGTGGCAGACAGCCATGGACGCAGAGATGGCATCCTGGAAGTCCACAGGCACTTACGTTGACGCAGTTCCCCCTCCTGGGGCGAACATCGTCGACGGCATGTGGATTTTCAGGGTGAAGCGGCCGTCGGGTTCTCCGCCTGTCTTCAAGGCGCGTTACGTTGCACGAGGCTTTAGTCAGCGACAGGGAGTTGGCTTCTTCCAGACCTTGTCACCTACCCCAAAGATGACCACTCTTCGGGTGTTGCTGCACATTGCCGCTCAGCGTGACTACGAGCTTCACTCTCTTGACTTCAGCACGACTTTCTTCCAGGGCAGCCTGCACGAGGAGATCTGGTTGCGCCGTCCTCGTGGCTTCGCTGAAGGTACCTAGTGGAGCCTCCGCCGGCCAGTCTACGGTCTCCGCTAGGCGCCTCGTGAGTGGCACGACACACTGAGGACGACACTTGCGGCTCTTGGGTTTGCTCCTTCCACTGCTGAACTGTCATCGCTGTTTCTACGCACCGACACTTTGCTGCCGCCGTTCTACATCCTCGTGTACATCGACGACTTGGTTTTTGCCACTGCTGACACTGAGGGACTCGCCCTTGTGAAGTCGGAGCTGTAGAAGAGACACACGTGCACTGACCTGGGTGAGCTGCGCAGCTACCTTGGCTTGCAGATCACCCGGGACAGAGCATGGCGCACCATCACCCTGACTCAGTCATGCATGGTGCACCAGGTCCTTCAGAGCTTTGGCTTCTGGTTCTCCTCGCCACAGTCCACTCCTCTGCCTACCGGTCACTCGCTCTCAACTCCACCTTCGGACGAGTCTGTAGAGCCGAGTGGCCCGTATCCAGAGCTTGTGGGCTGCCTCATGTATCTGATGACCTGCACTCGACCTGACCTTGCGTACCCTCTTAGCATCTTGGCACGCTACGTTGCACCCGGGAGACACCGACCAGAGCACTGGGAGGCTGCTAAGAGGATGTTCCGCTACTTGTGCAGTACATCGGGCATGGGGCTCGTGCTTGGAGGACGGGGTGACGTTGTCCTCACTAGACACTCAGACGCTTCGTGGCCTGACGACCTGGCTACGCAGCGGTCGTCACAGGGTTACACTTTCAGCCTTGGCTCCGGCTCTGTTTCTTGGCGGTCTACTCGCTCGTCTTCTGCTCTTAGCTCCAGTTGTGAGGCTAAAATCTACACACGTAGGAGCCATGGCTGCACAGGAGTTACGCTGGCTCACCTACCTGCTGACCGACTTGGGAGAGCGGTTTTGTTCCCCTCCAGTTCTGTACGTAGACAACAAGGCCGCGATTGCCTTGTGTGAGGAGCACAGACTGGAACACAGAACGAAGCACATCGCATGCTAGAGCACATTCGTATTCCGTGTCAGACACGAAGCCAGACACGAAGTTGAGGTTGGAAAGACCCAAAGGGATTTAGATTGCAGGCAAATTAAGGTTCGGAAGACACAAACTGAGTCACTTTGTGTCTTCCGAGGGTCTGACCTGATGCCTGACACGCGAAACGAATGCACCCTTACACTTCCTAGTCAGGGAAGTAAAACTCCCACCCTGTTTTTGAAAGGGTAATAAAAAAATCACTAATTTGAAGAAAGGGTAAATATACGGTTAGCCTGCCTTGATCAGGGTAACTGAAAAAAAACGGCCTACAGAAAGGGAAAAAAGGGTATTTTACCCTGATATTTTGGGCCCTGGTCCACTTCCCTTGATTTCCAAAAAGAATAATAATAATAATAATAATAATAATAATAATAATAATAATAATAATAATAATAATAATAATAATAATAATAATAATAATAATAATAATAATAATAATAATAATAATAATAATAATAATAATAATAATAATAATAATAATAATAATAATAATAATAATAATAATAATGAAACAAACAAACATGCTCTCAGACTTTGTTATTTGCACCCGCACCTTCACCTCCAGCATCCTCCATCTGAAATCTAGCTTGTATTGCATCAAGCACCCTAGCCACGCTCGTCACATTAGCCACCACAGTGGACAAACAGTTGCCCTGGCTGAACACAAGATGGTACCGCAGCGAGCAGGCAGAGGCGAGGCCATTATAGACAGGCACAGGGCATCCATGGGGGCGAATCTCCAGCAGGGAAGCCTTTTCCGGCATGAAGATCATGTTGGTGAGTGCGGCTCCGTGGCCCGCGATGTAGAGGCGTGCTCGCATGAGGAGTGCACGGGCTAACGGGAGGGGAGAGGGAGTGTAGGAGGGAGGGGTATAGGACACAATGGAAGTGGAGAGGAGAGGACGGAAGAGTTGTGAATGGATGAAGAACATATTGGAGAATGCAAGAGGCGCGCTCACAAGAGGAGTGCACAGGCTGAGGGGGGGGGGATGGGGGAAGAAGGGAGAGGGGAAGAGGACGGAATGGGAGTGGAACGGAGGGGTGGGAGGAAGAAGGTAACAATGGCCATTGCATTTGCGAGAGGTGCTCCATGTCCTGGAATGCATAATTCTGGTATTGAGGCGCCTCAAAACCACAGCCTTCTGTGCAGAACCATGCCTGCAGAAAGGGGTCCAATGGTAAGAGGGAGCGTTGAGACTGGGATTTTGAGAGATCTCAAGAGCCAATCACGATCATGTGGGTGATGGCGGGTCCACAGCCTGCTGCGTACGATTCTGATTTGAGGTGCCTGGGAATCATGGCATGGCTTGCTGTGTGGTGGAGTCACGTTTGCAAGTGAGGTCTTGAGACAGATAAAAAAGAGGGCAGAAAGGGTATGTGCGGGGCGTGCAGGGCGCACATCATGGAAGCCAGCATGTTGCAGGTTTTTTTTTAGACTTCTCAGCCAAGCCCCTGCTAAGCCAACATGCTGTGAGCAGCAACATGGGCTGAGAAGCTTTGAAAAAAAAAATCTCAAAAGCAACCTTGGAAGTCGAGAAGCCAAAACGTGACTCCCATTCTCACACATCACGCAGGGCTTGGGGAACTTTCTTTGACGTGCCTAGAATATTCTCCTTTATATGAAGACGCTCACACGTAGATACATATGTATATGTATATGTATATGTATATGTATATGTATATGTATATGTATATGTATATGTATATGTATATGTATTTGTATTTGTATATGTACATGTACATGTATATGAATATGTACATATATACATATGTATATCATTGCATACCCTTGCTCATACACCACTCACCTTGTAGAATAGGCAGCAACCCATCATACACGACCACTCTTTCTCGGCCAAACCGCCTCACCACCTCCACCTCCACCTCGTCAATATTCAGAATCGCCCGTTTCTTCCCTTTCGGCCGCTTCGCCAGCACGACCACCCAGTCTGAGGGGAAGGAGCGAGCCTCGTGGGCGGAGAGATGGCGGTGGTTGCGGAGAGTCCAGTCTGGGTTGAAGAGAGGCACGCCGGAGGGGTGCAGCAGATGGCGGCGTCGCATCAACCGCCAGAGCGACTGGCTGGGATGGTGGCAGTTTTGAAAGATGGGCTGGGGGACGGACGGAGATGGGTGGCGAGTGGAAGGGGAAATGGAATGAATGCAGTCATGTCCTGATGCATGGCCTGGAGCAGCAGGGAGGGGCCTGGAGAGAAGGATGGAGCTATCACATCGATGACTTCCTCATATCAATTTTAGTTCATTTATTCAATTATCTATTTATTTGTCTATTCATTCAAGAGGGTATATGTCCACCACACGCATGCATGCCTTACCTGATACACCACATCGACATGAAACAGGTCATTGCGGGATGTGGGGAGCAAGCGCATCTGATCGAGTGGGATGCCTATGAGTGGCGCACCCAGCTGCTCGTACATATGTACCTGTGGGAAGGGGCATGACATGACATGGGAAAAAAGATAAGGACTCTATGATCCACTCGATATGATCATCCGGTTGCATGTCATCCAGGTTCTATACATGTGCACCTGTGAGGTGAGGCATTGACATTCGACGACATAAGATGGCAATGAGACGGGCATGAGCTGGGAATGAGATGGCAGGTGGTGGGTCAAACGCACCTCAATTCAGCAGAGAGGCATCGAAATTAAATGCATGCATTGAGTATGGGAATCATGGAAAGGATATGGGAATGAACTGGGAATGAAGTGGCAGCTGAATGTTTAGGCGCCTCAAAGATTGACTCGAGATGGCAGCTGGTGGTAAAAGCTGCCACTCGGTTGGTGTGCCGAATTTGCTGCTGTTGGCACCTCATGCAGCACACAGGAGCATAACTAGAACCCCACCAGGACGCTATGATGAAAACACTTTCGAGAATTCTCAAAAATGGAAATGAGACGGCAGCCAGTGGGAGAAGCTGCCGCTCGGTTGGTATGCCCAATTTGAAGACTGCTGCCGGCAGCTCGTGCAGCACGCAGGAGCATAACTAGAACCCACCTGGCCACCTCGGACGAGCACAGGCAGCTGTCGCAGTGGGGAGGGCATGAGGGGCGCGGCGACGAGGAAGAGCGGAAAGATTTCAATGAGGAAGTGGAAGAAGTTGCTGGCCGGTTGGTGCGCCCAGTTGAACACTGCTGTCGGCAGCTCGTGCACCATATGGCCCGCATCAAACGTGGCCTGATGGTGGAAGGGAAGGGAAGGGAAGGGAAGGGAGTCCATAGGACATTTGGGCATTTGAAAATGAGTACTCAAGACTGATGCAAGCACTGTTGGGTTGGTGCGCGCAGTTGAACACAGCTGTTTGCAGCTCGTGCACCGTGTGACCCGCGTCACACGTGGCCTCATGGTGGAAGGGCGGGGGTGTGTAAGTATTTTTTATTTTTCTCATCAAGAATGGTGCAAGCACTGTAGATGAGAAAATGATGTAGGCAGTTGATGCAGCATGCTCCCCGTATCATACGCGGCCTGGTGGCGGAAGGGAGTGGAAGAAAACGCACCAGTAACACACATGGAAGAATCGAACTCGACGCATGGTCCTTACCAAACCCTTCGCCGGATCGGACACAGCTATTGGTTGGCCGCGTGCTTCATGTGCACGTAAGCACATGAGCATATGAACACGTGAGCACACGGAAACATGACCGCATGAGCAGACAAGCGCATGAGCCCCATAATCATTAGCCCGCACGCAAACGTGTGCTTTATTCCAGAGGCACCCACGCGCCGGCGCACACAAGGTGACTTTTGAGTCGACTCAAAAGTCAGAGGCACCCATGCGCCGAGGGCGCACACACAAGCAACTGTGAAGACGAACACACAGGCACACGAGCACGAACTCGCTCCCTCCTTTCTCCCCTCACATCATTCTTTCATCCCAACCATTTCTCCGCACACCCCCATCCCCTCACAACCCTCCCACCCTCGCACCTTTCTCTCCACACATCCTCCACTACGCAACCCTCCCTCCCTCGCCACACCTCTCACTGCGCTAGGAAGCATGCGTGCGGCCAAGCCTAATTCATGAACCCCTTGACAAACATTTTCTCTTTCTACCCAACAACCCTCCACTCTACTCATCCCTCCCTGCTACCCAACCCACCCTCTACCCAGACATCCCTTCTACTCAACCCTCCCTTCTTGTCAACCCTCTCGTCTACCCAACTCACCGTTGCCGTGCGTGCATCCATTCCTGACAAAAAGCCGTGTGCGGCTGAGAGCAAACCAAGCCGATTCTTGCACCTCTTAGAACCCCCCCCCCCCCCCCCCCCCCCCCCCCCCCCTGTCAATCAGCCATCCATGTAAGTTGTTCCTCCCCCTCTCACCGATTTGGGGAACTGTGTTCATCCCCTGGTACATGCGGTTGAGAGCGGCAGATCTGTCATCCATCACAAACACATCCTCCAGCCGGCGCGTCATCTGCAATGCGGTCGCCCCTTCTCCTTTTCTGCAACCCCACTCTCACCTTTTCCGGGAAGTGTGGGCAGCCGTTCCTGACAAACAGGTGCGTGCGGTTGAGAGCAAACCCATTGTCCGTCACAAACACATCCTCGAGCCGAATCATCTGCAGCGCGTTCGCCCCATGGACCCCCACGTCCTGCTCGTGCGAACACGTCTCGTCAAATCTCGCCTTCGACCAGGACCTGTCACCACGCCCTGCGCTGTCCGCGGCTTTAAGGGGGCAGTTTACAGGGGGGATGGGTTCGCTCATGGGGGGGTCGACAAGCTCGGGGTTCCAGCAGGCCTGCACGTTGGGGAAGCGCGCAGTGCAGGAGCCGAAGGAAGGGCAGGGAGGACCGTGGCAGCGGAGTTTCACCGCCCATTCTGACTCGCCTGAGACACTACCCTCTGAAGCACTGTCAAGGGACGTGATTGACCCGCTTCCTACACTATTACCGCTACTAGAACTGGCTTCCGAGTTGTCCGAGGGGAGGTGGTGGAAGAAGGGGAGGAAGATGCTGGACAGGCGCGCCGTGGAGAGAGGGAAGCCCAGCGGCCGTGTCACGAGTTTGATTCGCTCGGGGTGGGTCCTGGCGTGGCACGGAGGAGGGAGGGAGGGCGAAGAATGGACGGGGAGAGAAGGGGGGAGAGCGAGAAGATGTTGGACAGGCAAGCCGTGGAGAGAGGGAAGCCCAGCGGCCGAGTCAGGGGGTTGACTCGCTCCTGGTGGTTCCTGGCGTGGAGGCGGAGGGGGAGAAAGGGCTTCGGTAAAGATTCACCTACTACAGTCCTCCAGGATTCCGTACTGACCTGGGAAGGCTTTGGTATGTATTCGCCAACTGACCAGATTCGCCAGGTCACTGATTTCTTCAACCTAAATCGCACTGGCAGGAAATAAAATCGCCTAACCTAGATCGCACCTAACAAGATTCGCCAGCTGACCGAAATCGCAGTGGAAGGTAATAAGATTCGCCCACTGACCTAAATCGTAGTGGCAGGTGACAAGATTCGCCTACTGACCTAAAGCAGTGGCAGGTAAAATTTCCAGCTGACCTAAATCGCTGTGGCAGGTAATAGTTGAGTTCGCCTTCGAACTCGCCGACCCTGCCCACCAGATGAGACCTCGGA